TAGGGAAACACTAGTCTCTGTAACTCTTGTAGGTTTTGTTACTGTTGGTAGCAACATGCAGTTACTCATTGTGTTTGTGAATTCAGTAACGTGTGGGTCCTGGTCTTGCAGGAGATTTATATTGAAGTCACCTGAGAGTAGTAAGTGATCTTTGTTCATGCGTGCATCAGTTATCATACTTCCTAGGTTTTGACTAAATTGGCTAATGTTTGATTGTGGAACTCTGTAGATGTTTATCACTGTGAGAGGTTTTTGTAGGTATTTGGATTTGAATTTAGCTATTATATATTCCCCTGTTCATCCCTTGTGCAAGTATTAGTGATACATTCTAGTTGGTCTGAGTAGTATATAGCAGTGCCACCCCTTATTGGTCTGGCCTACAGTTGTGTATGGCTGTGTAACAGGAATGGCATAGACATCTGTAGTATCAGGCTTTAGCCAAGTTTCAGTTAGTGTAATGATGGACTATTGGCATGCAAGGAATTTAGTAATGCTAGGAGGTCATCATAAGCTTGCTTAAGATCTGATATTGTAGTTAAAGATTAGTTATGTTGTTAGTTGGCTCTGAGAAGTGCCTTTGATTGTTCTGCTGTGTAGTAATTACAGTAACTGTTTGAATCATTTAAGTCATTAAATAAGAGGTTGGTATCAGGATCAATGCTTGTAATCATAAGATTTGTAGTGAATCTATAGTTAGAATTAAGTAAAAAATAAAGTAATATTCTAAAGCTAAAAAAATAGCACCTGAATTATTTAACAAATGTAAAAATAATGAGCTAAGGTAGTTTTTAAAGCTAAAATAAAGGAGACAATATAAAAGGGACTAAAATAATTTGTGGTGAACAAATAAAGTGATGATCAAATAATGGAGCTTGGGAATATGATAGTAGGTAGTACTTTAAAGGTAATTCTTTAAAGTTAGAATTATAATATAGAATTATAATATAAAAGGGACTAATATAAGTTGTGGTGAACAATAAAGTGGTAATCAAATAATTGCACTAAGGTCTAATATAATGACTTTTGTGGAGTCTATGTTTTGAGCTAGAATGAGCTATAGTACAACTAGATTTAATCTAATAATATAACAATACAAATTAAAAATAGCACCAGTCTCTCACTAGTAATTGCAATATGGTCTAATATAATGAATTTGGTATTGACTATAGTACAACTGAGTTTAATCTAATATTATAGAAAAAGCACAAAGGACCCCAATGGAAATAAGTCACTCTGTCTGACTTTTTTGGGTTATCCTAGGTTCTCTACACATATGCTGCTATGTTATGATAATTCTATGTAACTGTATGTGTATTACCTGAATAAATTTACTTACTTACGTCACTTACTTACAAGACTCTCAATCGTAATTGCAACTAAGTGTTATAATACAAATTTATTACAAAGAATTAGAGTATAACTAGATTTTAAATTGACAAGATAAAATAATGCAATTAAGGTAGCAAAAGAATAAAAAAAGTAGAAAAAAAAATATAAGGTAGTTGGTACTAGTATAGCAAAAGATAGTAAAGGGCCTTGAACAATAATATAATTGAAAATAAACACTAATTGCACACACAATATAGTACTAAGATATGAAACAATCTTAGAGTAGGGATTATTAATACAAACTTATAATAAAAAATACAAATTGAAATGGTACTTCAATTGCACTGGAGTTGGTATAAGGTTTGGTTGACAAGATAGGAGTATAACTAGATTTAAATTGACAAAATATAATCACATTAAAGTACCAAAGAATAAATAGTCAAAAATACAAGGGTAATGTCTTGGTTATAATATGATAGTAAGATGGTAGCCAGGTACACAGGTACACGAGGTACAAAGGATAATTAAGGTTTGGAGTTGAATATACAAACTTGAAAAATTTGGCAACAAATGTTAGGGAATATAAATATGTTTCATGAACAAAAGTAAAATTGACTGGTAGTAAAAATGATGTTTAAAAATTTTAGTAAGTAATATGATTACAAAAAAGTGAAAAAGTAATGTTTATTTAATTCAATATGCACTGGTAATTATACTAGAGGTTATATGGCAGCACAAGGTAATTAAGAGTACCTAGATAGTAAATGGTATTAAAACTGGTTAAGTAAATTAGACAAGTAATAGGTATTAAATGTCATAATGTTAAGAGGTAAATTGAAATTATAGTAAAAATGATAGTAAAGATTAGCCGGTATCCCGGCAGGGCCTTTTCCATGGTTGGCCCGCCTTGCTCCCTCTTAGGGATTGTCTGAGACCTAAGTCTCCATGGGAGGAGGCACAAGTCTCCTCATCTTTTGGGACCAACTGTTTCCTCAGGCCTGAGCCACATAGCTAGGCTTCTCTGTCTGCATCCCCGCCCAAGGGGGCAACATAGGAATGACGTCTTATGAGCTAAGGCTCGGGCTCCAGTGCACCTACCTAACCCTAGAAGTGGGTTAGGCATTTGTCCCGATGGGATAATTATTATTTTAGTAAGTAATAATCAATTGATAGTATTTAAAAAATATGAGGTAATATTTGGATCAGAGAAAGTTTCATTAGCTAATGTTAAGCAAACTATAGTAAATAAGAAAATTACATAAGGTGACTTATGCTTTTCTAGTTAAAATCACAAAATTTAGGTAGTATGATTTATTTATTATAAAGATTGTACAATGAAAATTTGAACATGATGGAGCAAAAAATTCACGTAACACTACATAGGCTTTTAGGTATGTACATTGATTAGTTAATTCTCTGTTCAATAGTAATCCTTGAGAAATCGTGATAGAACATTTCGTTCGTTATGTGTACAGTTGACTACAATTGTTTCCTAACAAGAATTTCCCATCTCGTGTGAAGCATTGTGTATTGTGTCATATATTCTCCGCTTAAGTTTTCTAATCATAACAGGAGGTTCGACGTTTTATGGTAAGATCACTCGTTTATGTATACCTCTTATATTACTTTAATAGATGCAATAATTAAGTCTTTTTCCTGGTCATGTGAGTGGATCTAAGCAAACACTTTTTCGCATGGATCTAGGTACCTGTTCTTTTATTCTGACACTGGTACAATAACACTTGTTTGGTCCTTTATGATCTGCAGAGTAATTTCTTTACTGTTTGTTTGGTTCATATCACTGGGAAAAAGTGGCTTGTTATCATAGTTACTGGTTCCGATAGTTAATCTTGTTCAGGTTATTTTCTATGTATGAAGCAAAGTAGTCACTGAATGTTTCTAAGTTGTTCTTTCCATTCTTTTACTGCTTCTTCAACCTTTGTATTAAGAGATATTATTTGTTGGGTATGGCTATCTATTTATTTATTTATTTATTTATTTATTAACAATTTGAGCACACATACAGAGGTACAAAAATAAAGATAAGAGCAGCATGCCAAGCACTTTTATACTATCATAGCATTACGGGCTGGCTTAAAATTAACTTAGATTTAAGCAATGATGAAATCTAGTGATAAAACATTAATGGTAAACAGATTATATAAAGGGACAAGTGAGTATTTTCAAAGACAGGTCATATGGTTGCATGCATTGTTGTACCTTCAGTCGTATTTAAGTATTTGTTAGGTAGTTGTATTTAAAAAAATAATTAAAGTTAGATTTGGTTTTAGGTTTTTAAAATTTTTGTGATATAAATTTTGAGAAACTTTAAGATAACAATTTATAAGGTTTAGTTATTTAGTATTTTTTGGTTTTGGGTGAGTAAGTGATCTTTGAGAAAAGACTTGAATTTAAAACAGGTAGTGTTTTTTTATTACAGGTAATAATTCCAGATTTTTTGGGGCCCTTTTTTGTGATTGGTTTTTGCATATGTGAGTGGACCGAGGAACATCAAAGAGTGATCTGTGCTTTTGTTTTGGTCAGTGTTTTGTGAGGTTTGGGAAGGGAGATGTTGAGGGGGGGGTTTTATCAGAGTTAAGTGTTCTATGTATGTAATAGGGGCGTAAAAGTTGGATGTTTTGTATGGTGAGTAGGTTAGTGTATTTAATATTGGGGAGTGTGCTGCTGATTTAAATTTGTTATTCTAACTAGCCTTTTTGGGTAATTAGTGGGTTTAGATGGGTTTAAATTGTTTTTTTGAGCCCCATGCACAAATTCCATAGGTGAGATAGGGGTAAATAAGAGAGTGATAAAGGGCCATATTATATATATCTTCTGGCTTCTCGTGAAGGAGGCTAGAAACTGTCTAGCCAGTTGCAAATATTTAATGTACTATAAATGATGTGATACTATGGTTAATGATATATGTTTTGTTCATAGTGATTATGATATGAGAAGTTCTGTTTTAAAGATTGGATTATTTAATTCACTATAGAAAGTTTAAGTGATTATTAACATTGTTAATAAACAAACAGAAACCTAATAGATTCATTTTCTTAAAGCAAGAGAGCCTTTTATAAGTTTGTTACGAGAAGCACTAAAACAGTGGCCTACAAGCAATATTCGTAACACAAGGTTACAGAAGTAAGACAAGAGAGGGATAGGTAGATTGCATTTTCCTGGACTGTAAGAAGGCTTTCAACAGTTCCATGTAAAAAAATTAGTGCAAAAGCTAGAGTAGGAATAACAGGAAAGGCACTGCAATGGATTAGAGACTACTTGACAGGAAGGATACGAGTCATGGTACGTGACGAGGTGTCAGAATGGGCACCCCTGACGAGCGGGGATCCAGAGTGGTCAGTCCTAGGGCCGGTGCTATTTCTGGTATATGAATGACATGACGGAAGGGATAGAGGTGTTCTTGTTTGCAGACGATGTGAAGCTAATATGAAGAATTAAATCGGACGAGGATCAAGTAGGACTACAAAAGGATCTAGACAGGCTGCAAGCCTGGTCCAGCAACTGGCTGCTGGAGTTTAACCGAACCAAGTGCAAAATTATGAAGATTGGGGAAGATCAAAGAAGACCGCAGAGTACTGGTTAAGGGACCAAAGATTGCAACGCTCACTCAAGGAAAAGGATCTCTGGGGGCGAGTATAATACCGAGCACATCAAATCAAATCAAGTCGGTTTATTCTCTATAAGGATTACAATGCAGGGTTTACAGATTTTGGTTATTGTGTGGTTTACATGTAAAATACTAATTACAGAGGGGGCCACTAGAACACCTTTGAGGCCCTCATCAATCAAATAACTGCTGCAGTATATCGTCACCTGGCAAACCTAAGAATGTATAAGACACAATTTTCCTGGTAAATTCTGCGGTGTTGAGAGATACTGATGTCTAGTTGTCCACATCTTCATTGTTGCTAGTCTCATTTACACCCTAACTGTAACTGCAACTTTGTTGCAACGTAACCTTTGAAGCTCCCGTAGATACTTGAACCACAGTGGATTTTTGACAATATCTTCAATTACTCTGCGTTTCGACACCTTAGTAAGGAATCGTTCAAGCCTTTGTACACTGTGTACGTCAGGCCCATATTGGGATATGGAGTCCACACCTGGTCAAACATGTCAAGAAATTAGAGAGTGAAAAGGTTTGTAACAAGACTAGTCCTGGAGTATGTCCTACAAGGAGACTGACTTGACGATATTGGAGTACAAGAGGGATAGGGAGGACATGATAACATAAAATTCCTGAGAGGAATTGACAAGGTGGATAGGGATAGGATGTTTCAGGGATGGAACCTAGCAACAAGGGGTCACAAGTGGAAGTTGAAGACTCAGATGAATAACAGGAATATTAGGAAGTATTTTTTTCAGTCAAAGTTGTCAAGCAGTGGAACAATTTGCATAGTGATTAGTGTAGGCAGGCTCCATACATGGCTTTAAGAAAATATACGATAAAGCTCATGGACCTAGTAGCGACCAGCGAGGAGGCGGGGCCAGGAACTGTGAATCGACCCCTGCAATCACAAATAGGTGAGTACACACTTGTACACACTCTTTTTTGGTGTTCTATAGCAATAATACGTGATTATTTTAGCATGGTTTTTATTTTATAAGGTAGCCTACAACTAACAAACAATTTGTATATCACCTCTGAAAAGTAGTCACAATACTACTTGCTTTAGTGACTGTGAAATGATTTATTAAAAATATTAATTTATTTTTGTTCAGAAAAAAAATCAGAATTTAAGTGCACATGTTGGAAACAAATGATCTTTTTCGGACTTATAAAAATCACTTAACATTTTTTTTTACTTCTTGCTGTTGTGTGTACTTGACAAGCCGAAAGTAATTACACTCTAGTGGGGCCCCCTCATGCTAGGGGCCCTATTGGGAGCAATCGGTCCAATCGGCTTAAGGTCGGCCCTGATATATATATACATATATTGATGAACAGCAGTTTTATGACAATGTAGGCTTCTATACCAATTCTCGCCTCTTTCAGTGTAATTAGTCTTCCTTACATTGGCTTGTGAATGTATGTCTTTTTTTTATTTAAGATTAGTATATGCAAGCCTGAAAGGTGTTCAACGTGACTACATAAGTTCCCATGGGCAAGAACAATGAATTTGGTTACTTTCCTACAGGGACATAATCACTATAGTAAGGTCAAGCGTTCATATTAAGCTCACACACGAAGGGTAGCTTAATTTCACAGTTTTGATCATTAAAGAATGGATAACGTTTCATTTGCACGGCTAAGCAGTCTTCATTGTGGGCATTGTTGGGTTCACCTGCCTTCCAAGGTACTACGTGAATGTTCATCAGAGTACCTGACGTCCACTGCCACCGTTGCTCCACCATCAGGTCAGACGCGCCGAGCCAATATATTTCTTTGGTCACATCTGTAACAGAGGGAACGTGTCAATTTGTAATATAAGACTGTTACACTGACTATAAATACAAATTCCTTCAAGGGGATATTGGGTGCTTTCTTGCTGGCGAAACACACTTCCAGGGAGCTGGAGGTACCTTTCCCTTCCCAGTGACTATTTATGATTCATACGGGACTAGAACTTCGAGGTAAATATAATAATAATATGTAAACAAAACGATAACTATAGAAAGATTACTACAGTTATCCCCCCCCCCTCTCTCTCTGGCCTGGTATCGTTTTCTTTCTCGGGGCCAGTTCCTCCGTCACTCTCCGCCGGGCCACCTGGCCTGTGTGGAGCAGATACTACATCGGTTACTTGCTGCTAGCTAGTTACTGCTTGGCAAAGGTACTTGTCGATAGACACTTGACCTGTTTTAAGTGTTTGCATAGGTATGCGTGTGCTTGCATGAGTATGTGTGTATACTTGGAAAGGGTTTCGGGGGTTAACGCCCCCGCGGCCCGGTCTGTGACCAGGCCTCGTGGTGGAACAGGGCCTGGTCACAGACCGGCCTGAACAACCAGGCTGTTACTGTTGGCTGCACGTAAACCGACGTACGAACCAGAGCCCGGCTGATGAAGTAGTGACTTTAGGTGATTGTCCAGCGCACCTTCTTGAAGACAGCCAGGGGTCTATTGGTAATCTTCTTTATGTATGTTGGGAGGCAGTTGAACAATCTTGGGCCTCTAACACTTAGTGTTCTCTTAGCCTACTCGTGGCGCCCCTGGTTTTTACCGGAGGGATGTTGCACCGCCTGCTGAGTCTTGTGCATTCGTAGAGAGTGATTTTCGTGTGCAAATTTCGTACTAATCCTAGAATTTTCCAAGTGTATATTATCTTACATCTCTCTCGCCTGTGTTCCAGAGAATACAAGTCAAGGAATTTCAACCGTTCTCAGTAATTTAGGTGTTTTATCAGGCTGGACACCTGGTCCAGCCAGTTGCTGGACCAGGTGTCTAGCCTGTCCAGGTCTCTTTGAAGTCTTACCTGGTCCTCATCTGATTTAATTCTCCTCATTAACTTCACATCATCTGCGAATAGGGACACTTCTGAGTCTAACCCTTCCATCATGTAATTCACATATACACATATGTGTGTGTGTTTGCATGTGTGTGTGTGTGTTTGCATGAGTGTCTGCATGAGTATGTGTGTTTGCACGAGTGTATGTGTATGTGCATGTTTGCATGAACATGTGTGTACGTGTACTCACCTAGTACTCGCCTAGTTGTAGTTGCAGGGATCGAGTCATTGCTCCTGACCCCGCCTCTTTACTGGCGGCTACTGGGTCACACTCCCTGCACCATGAGCTTTAGCATACCTTTGCTTAAAGCTATGAATGGATCCTGCCTCCACTACATCGCTTCCCAAACTATTCCACTTCCTGACTACTGTGACTGAAAAAATACTTCCTAACATCCCTGTGATTCATCTGCATCTTCAATTTCCAACTGTGTCCCCTTGTTGCTGTGTCTCATCTCTGGAACAACCTGTCTCTGTCCACCTTGTCTATTCCTCTCAGTATTTTATGTCGTTATCATGTCCTCCCTATCTCTCCTGTCCTTCAGTGTCGTCAGATCGATTTCCCTTAACCTCTCCTAGTAGGACATACCCATTACCTTACTCCTTAGCTCTGGAACTAGTCTTGTTGCAAACCTTTGCACTTTATCTAGTTTCTTTACGTGCTTGGCTACATGTGGGTTCCAAACTGGTTCCGCATACTCCAATATGGACCTAATGTACACAGTGTACAGGGTCCTGAACGATTCCTTAAGATGGCAGAATGCTGTTCTTAGGTTTGCTAGGCACCCATATCCTGCAGCAGGTATTTGGTTGATGTGCGCCTCAAAGATGTGCCTGGTGTTACTCACCTCAAGATCTTTTTCCTCGAGTGAGGTTTGTAGTCTCTGGCTCCCTAGACTGTACTCCGTCTGCGGTCTTCTTTGCCCTTCCCCAATCTTCATGGCTTTGCACTTGGTGGTGTTGAACTCCAGGAGCCAATTGCTGGACCAGGCCTGCAGCCTGTCCAAATCCCTTTGTAGTTCCTCCTGGTCCTCGTCCGATTGAATTCTCATCAACTTCACATCATCTGCAAACAGGGACACCGGTGTCTATTCCTGCCGTCATGTCGTTCACAAATACCAGACACAGCACCGGTCCTAGGACTGACCACTGTGGAACCCCCACTCGTCACAGGTGCCCACTCTGACACCTCGCCGCGTACCATGACTTGCTGCTGTCTTCCTGACAGGTATTCCCTGATCCATTGTAGTGCCTTCCCTGTTATCCCTGCTTGGTCCTCCAGTTTTTGCACTAATCTCTTGTGTGGAACTGTGCCAAACGCCTCCTTACAGTCCAAGAAAACGCAATCTACCCATCCCTCTAATCCTACGGGTTTAGCGCTCCCCCATGATTATAATAATGCCCACCCCTCTCTCTCTTGTCTTACTACTGTCACCGTCATAGAACTCCAGTAGGTTTGTGATAGGATTTCCTGTCCCTGAAACCGTGTTGGCTGTTAAGCTCATTTCTTTCTAGGTGTTCCACCACTCTTTTCCTGATAATCTTCTCCATGACTTTGCATACTATAGATGTCAGTGACACTGGTCTATAGTGCTTCTTGTCTCTTTTTTTTTTTTTTTTTTTTTTTTTTTTTAAATTGGGACTACATTTGCTGTCTTCCATACCTCAGGTAATCTCCCTGTTTCGATAGATGTATTGAATATTGTTGTTAGGGGGTACACAATAGCGCCTCTGCTCCCTCTCTCAGGACCCATGGAGAGATGTTATACGGCCCTATCGCCATTGAGGTGTCTAGCTCGCTCAGAAGCCTCTTCACTTCTTCCTCGGTTGTATGTATTGTGTACAATATATGCAACCGTACGTGTGTGTATGTGTGTGTGTGTGTGTGTGTGTGTGTGTGTGTGTGTGTGTGTGTACACTCACCTATGTAGTTGCAGGGGTCGAGTCATACCTCCTAGCCCCGCCTCTTCACTGGTCGATACTAATTCACTCTCTCCCTGCTCCATGATATTTGTCATATCTCTTCTTAAAGCTATTTATGGAACTTGCTTCCACTACTTCACTCTCCAGATTATTCCAGTTCCTGACAGCTCTAAGACTAAAGAAATACTTCCTAACATCCCTATGACTCATCTGGGTTTTCAGTTTCCAATTGTGTCCCTTGTTTCTGTATCCCATATCTGAAACATTCGATCCTTGTCCACCTTGTCAATGCCTATTAGTATTTTATACGTTGCTATAATGTCCTCTCTATCCCTCCTATCCTCTAGTGTCATCAGGTTGAGTTCCCTTAACCTCTCCTCATAAGACATACCCCTCAGTTCCGGGACTAATCGTGTTGCAAATTTTTGCACTTTCTCCAATTTCGTGACGTGTTTGACTAAGTGAGGGTTCCATACTGGCGCTGCATATTCCAGTATAGGCCTTACGTACACTGTGTACAATATCGTGAATGACTCCTTACTCAGATGTCTAAACGCCAATCTCAGGTTTGCCAATCTCCCATATGCTGCAGCAGTTATTTGATTGATGTGTGCCTCAGGGGACATGTTCCTTATAATGCTTACCCCAAGATCCTTTTCTTTAACTGACGTTTGCAGCTGTTGGTTTCCTAACCTGTACTCCGTCTGCGGTCTTCTGTGTCCTTCACTAATCTTCATGACCTTACACTTACTGGGGTTAAACTCCAGGAGCCATTTGTTGGACCATACTTGTAGTTTGTCCAGATCCCCTTGTAATCTTAACTGATCCTCGCCCACTTGTATTCTCCTCATCAGTTTCACATCATCAGCGAACAGTGACACTTCTGAATCTATTCCTTCCACCATGTCATTCACGTATACAAGAAACAGCACCGGACCTAGGACTTAACCTTGTGGAACCCCACTCGACACATTCGCCCACTCCGACACTTCATCGCGTACCAACACACGTTTCCTTCCTGTCAGGTATTCCCTGATCCATTGCAGTACTTTCCCCGTTATTCCTGCCTGCTCCTCTAATTTTTGCACCAGTCTCTTGTGTGGTACTGTGTCAAAAGCCTTCTTGCAATCTAAAAAGATGCAATCTACCCATCCCTCTCTCTCATATCTTACTTCTGTTACCTTATCATAGAACTCAAGTAAATTTGTGACACAGGATTTCCCATCTCTGAAGCCATGCTGACTGTCATGTATGAGCCCAATCTTTTCAATGTGTTCCACTACTTTTCTCCTGATAATCTTTTCCGTGAATTTACATGCTATACAAGTCAATGACACTGGTCTGTAGTTTAATGCTGCCTGTCTGTCTCCTTTCTTAAAAATTGGAACTACATGTGCTGTCTTCCACGCCTCAGGCAACTGCCCTGTTTCGATAGATTTACTGAAGATGGCTGCTAATAGCACACACAGTTCCTCTGCTCCCTCTCTCAGTATCCATGGAGATATGTTATCTGGGCCCACCGCCTTTGAGGTATTGAGTTCGTCTAGCAGTTTCTTCACCTCTACCTTGGTTATGTGTATTGTCCAGCACCTGCTGGTGCACCCTACCTCCAGTTTACTGGAAGCATTCCTGACTATTGTGAATACTTCTCTAAATCTTTTGTTTAGTTCATCACATACTTCTTGGTCACTCTTCGTCAGCTTCCCTCCTTTCCTCAGCCTGATTACCTGGTCCTTGACTGTTGTTTTTCTCCTAATGTGATTGTATAACAACTTTGGTTCAGATTTGGCTTTTGATGCTATGTCGTTCTCGTATTGCCTCTGGGCCTCTCTCCTTATCCTCGCATATTCGTTTCTGGTTCTGCTCAGCTCCTTGTTTTCTTGAGTCCTTTGCCTTCTATACCTTTTCCATGCTCTAGCACACTTGGCTTTGGCCTCTTTACACCTCCAATTAAACCATGGGCTCACTCTAGTCTTACCATTTTTCTGTTGCCCTTTGGTATGAACCTTTCCTCTGCCTCCCTGCACTTAGCGGTTACTATTTCCATCATTTCATTTACTGTCTTTCCATCTAGTTCTCTTTCCCACTTCACTTCATGCAGGAAACTTCTCATTTCTATGTAGTCCCCTTTTTTGAAGTTTGGTTTCTCTCTTTGTTCTCGTGCTGCTGCATTCTCCACTGTTAACTCGATAAGATATTCAAAACTCAGGACATCATGATCACTAGCGCCAAGGGGTCTTTCGTGGGTGATATCCCTTATGTCTGAGCTATTCAGGTGAATATGAGATCCAGCCTTGCTGTAACATCGCCAGAAAATCTCCAGAACGACATTTGTCTTTGCAAACATACAGGGTCCAAAGCCGTCAGAAAGCAAGATTCCTTACATCAAGGGACTGCTCACGGAGTCAAATGCAATGTTTGCAGCATTCACAGAGACCCACATAAAGGATCATTATGACAGCGAAATATGGATCCCAGGTTATAACCTATTTCGATGCGACAGACTAAGGCAACAAGGAGGGGTTGGCCTGTATGTTACAGAGTCGCTCATTTGCACAGAACTACTAAACACCTCAGATGATGTAGTTGAAGTTTTGACTGTAAAGATTGAAAACCAAAACCTTGTCATTGTGGTAGTATACAAGCCTCCAGATGCAATTTCCCAGCAATTCCAGGAGCAGTTAGTTAGTTTAATATGTTTATTATGCACCCCATACCCAGCTTGAGAAAATTGACCACTGTCTGGAAAATCTTCCAACTCCTGCCCTAAACATCTTACTACTAGATTTCAACTTGAGACACCTAAAATGGAGGAGTATAGCAAACAATATTTTAGCAGAGATCACCCCAGGAGGCAGCTCAGGTGAAAATTCACACACACACACGAACTATTAAATCTCTGTACCAAATTCACCTTAAGTCAGCAAATAGTAGAGCCTACAAGACTAGAAAATACGTTGGACCTCATCTTCACTAACAATGACGATCTGATACGTAATATAACTGTATCAAAGACAATACACTCAGATCACAACATAATAGAGGTACAGACATGTATGCACAGGGCTCCGGACCAGCAAAATGTGAGCAGTCATATAGGTCTCTTCACGAAATTCAATTTCAGCAACAAAAACATACAATGGGATCAAGTAAATGAAACAAGCTGGGAAGATATCCTAAAGAATACGGATCCGAACATTTGCCCTGAAAAAAATTAATTCTGTGGTTCTTGAGATCTGCTCAAAACACATTCCATTGAGAAAAAGAAAGAGAAGATGTAAACTAGAAAAAGAGAGACATTCCCTACACAGACGAAGGCGAAGAGTCACAGAGCTGCTGAGAGGGGCCAATATATCTGAAATACGAAGGGAAGCACTAGTCACTGAAATTGCAAATATCGAACTTAAGCTGAAGGAATCTTAAGGGAAACAAGAATCACAAGAACTAAAAGCCATAAAGGAAATTGAAAAAACCCAAAATACTTCTTCTCTTATGCCAAATCTAACGGAAAAACAACATGCAGTATTGGGCCCCTGCTTAGGTGGGATGGGACATACATAGATGATAGCCAAGAAATGAGTGAGATACTAAAGTGTTCATCGAGCCACTGCCCAGACTAAGGGTCGACAATCCAAATGAATTCTTTATGAACGAAACCCAAAATTTGGTCATCCCAAAAATATCGGACATTATTCTAACTCCACAAGACTCTGAAGAGGCAATTAATGACATGCCCATGTACTCTGCCCCAGGCCCAGACTCGTGGAACTCCGTGTTCATCAAGAATTGCAAGAAGTCCCTATCGCGTGCCTTCAGCATTTTATGGAGAGGGAGCATGGACACAGGGGTCATCCCACACACACTAAAAACAACAGACATAGCCCCACTCCACAAAGGTGGCAGTAAAGCAATTGCAAAGAACTACAGACCGATAACACTAACATCCCATATCATAAAAATCTTTGAGAGGGTTCTAAGAAGCAAGATAGCCAACCACCTAGATACCCATCAATTGCACAACCCAGGGCAACACGGGTTTAGAGCAGGTCGCTCCTGCCTGTCCCAGCTACTGGACCACTTTCACAAGGTCCTGGATGCTGTAGAGGATAAACAAAATACAGATGTAGTATACACAGACTTTGCAAACACTTTCAACAAGTGTGACAATGGTGTAATAGAACACAAAATGCGTGATAAAGGAATAACGGAAAAAGTTGGTAGATGGATCTACAACTTCCTGACAAATAGAACACAGAGTAATAGTAAACAGAGTAAAGTCCCAGGCAGCCACGGTAAAAAGCTCTGTTCCACAAGGCACAGTACTCGCTCCCATTCTATTCCTCATCCTCATTTCTGACCTTCATCGAAGACACCGCGAGACTCCAAGCGGACATCAACCAAATCTTCGAATGGGCCACTCAAAACAATATGAAGTTCAACGAGGAGAAATTTCAACTACTCAGATATGGGAAACGTGAAGAAATTAAAAATGTGTCAGGGTATACAACAAATTCTAATCATATAATAGAGCGGAAAAGTAATGTGAAGGACCTGGGAGTGATAATGTCAGAGGATCTCGCCTTCAAAGGCCACAACAATGTATCTACCTCATCCGCTAGGAAAATAATAGGATGGATAATGAGAACCTTCAAAACTAGGGACGCCAATCCCATGATGATTCTCTTCAAATCGCTCTTGCTCTCTAGGCTGTAATACTGCTGTACACTAACGGCCCCCTTCAAGGCTGGCGACATTGCAGACCTGGAGAGTGTACAAAAAACTTTCACGGCACACATAAGTACGATAAGGCACCTAAACTGCTGGGAACGGTTGAAGGTCCTTGATCTGTATTCCCTCGAACGCAGGCGAGAGACATGATAATATACACTTGGAAAGTCCTGGAGGGATTGGTACCAAACCTGCACACGAAAATCACTCCCTATTAAAGCAAACGACTCGGCAGATGCAACATTCCCCCGATGAAAAGCAGGGGCGCCACGAGTACACTGAGAGACAACACAATAAGTGTCCGGGGCCCAAGACTGTTCAATTGCTTCCCAGCATACATAAGGGGGATTACCAATAGACCCCTGGCTGTCTTCAAGAAGGCACTGGACAGGCACCTAAAGTCAGTACCTGACCAACCGGGCTGTGGTTCGTACGTCAGCTTGCGTGCGGCCAGCTGTAACAGCCTGGTTGATCAGACCCTGATCAACCACGAGGCCTGGTCTCAGACCGGGCCGCGGGGACGTTGACTCCCGAAACCCTCTGCAGGTAAACTCCAGGTAAACCACTGACTCAGCCAGCATTTTCAAACCTACCGTTAAAAACACCTTATCTCCCTAACCTATCCCAGCCCATCATAAATATGTAAAAACTATACATGCATTTGCTCAATATCACTAACTTAGGTAATACATATAATCAATGTATACTTATTCTCAATATCTGTTATCCTCTCAAACGTTAATCTATCCGCTGTGTCCGCTGTATTTACTCTCTATCAAACTTATTAAAATGCATGTAGCATGAACTAATAGAATATTAAATTCTCTTGTATTCATTGTAAACTCCTAAATTTAAAATTACTCACCTAAGTAACTATATGTACAAAATTACACAAATAGTTTTTGCCCTTTTAAACCTTAGTCTTAAGTTTGCCCGAAACACTCTGCATGTACACCCAAATATCATACTCCTTTGTACATGGGCATCATGTTGAAATAATCGTCTTATTTATTCTAAAATGGGACGTAATAAGTGTGGGTGTAGGTAGGTGTGCCTTGCAGTAGGTAGGTGTATGATAGACCAGGCAGGTGTGTGGTGGGGAAGGAAGGTGTGCAGAAGCGCGTAAGTGTGTGGTAGAGTTGGTCGGTGTATGGTGGAGTAGGTAGGTGTGTGGTGGAGCAGACAAAAAAATATGTGGTGGAATAGGCAGGTGCGTGGTGAAGATTAGGTAGGTGTATGGTAGAGTAGTTAGATGTGTGGTGGAACAGGCAGATATGTTGCGGAGTATGTAGGTGTGTGGTGGAGTGGGTATGTAGCAGTCCTACCTCCTCGCTGGTGCATCACAGCCACCAGGATCTCCACGGAGGAAGGTGCAGCCAGTGAGCCTCCGATACGCCTGCAGAAGTCATTAGCTTGCACCCAAGTTGCGTCGAACCACTCGTTTATGTAGAAGCACTCAGAGTTGAGCCGGAAATAGGGTACAGGACAGTCTGAAGTGGTAAGCCATGTTTACTTTCAAAGTCAAGAATGTACAACATATGTGTCTGTGTATAATTTAAGCTTTGGTTAAAATAAAGTAATCCTTGTATATACTCTACATATATAAACATGTGGTATTAGAAATGCATAATAATCACTGGTTTGTTTAATGTGTTTATTGACGAGGTTGCAGAAGTGAATAATAGTTTTAAGAAGAGGTAGGGGTCTTGAAAGATAACGAATGTTATATATGGCTAGTTTTGTCTCACATGTTTGCACTGAACAGAGGTAGTGAAGCTTTATTTGAGGCTGATATGTCGTATGAATATACAGAATAGTGAAACAATTTAAAAAAAAATGATTAGGTGGTATGAATAATATAATACAAGGTGTAAATTGACTGTAAAGATGGTTTGGACATTCAGAAGCAAGATATGTTAATAAAGAAGGGTTGGAAAGTGGGTTTAAATGAAGTTTTGATAGGTACAGTAGGTGTTTGAGGGTCCAGTAGGCATGCAACAGCCTGTTAAGATTCGAGTCAGCGGAAACAAGTTTTTACCTTTTTTTTTAGAATCTGATGTGCTGTTTGAGTTAACAAGGTAAAACTTATGAAGGGATTCAGTAAAATTTATGAAGGGATTAAGAAGGGATGGACATTACTAGGACACTGAAGGATGAGTGGGGATATTGGGATTCAACATATCATTTACGTTGTGATGTCCAGTTATTTCTGAAAAGATAGTTGAAGAGTGACGATGAATATGTTTTTATATTTAATAGCTCATGACTATTTATGAATTATTTATTTGTTTCTTGTGTATTACAATTCGTATCCATCCATATTAATATATACTTTATTTTTCACCTGCATTTCCCACTGGACGGTGTTCTTCTCTATTTTTATTCCAGTTTCATTTCATTTGTATCAAAATTACTTTCATTACTGATGTTTTCGTTGTAATTATTGATAATTACCAGTGTATCTAGATTATAATATGAACTTTAAGTTCTATGGGGGCAGGATATATATATCGAGTGGTGTGTATCACTTAGCGTATATACAGTGAGCTTGCTTACTTTTTTTTTTTTTTAGGAATTGAAGTATCCTTGATTTATGGTATGTAGGCAACATAACTTCTAGTGCACACGATATGTTTTAAACCTAGTAATACTAACAAAAGTAATGTATCTTATTCCATTTCATTATCTAGTTATTTATTACTGTAGATAATAATCTTGCGAATAAATATTTTGATAAATTAATTCAAAGGTTAAACTTGTCAAAGACGTAATATATTACAAAAAAAATTACCTTTGACGGAACCAGTACCTTCCTGGTGGGGAACGGGAATTTTGATGCTGGATTGGGTAGTCTCTTGCATCCTCATCAACGTTTCTCCCATGTCAGTAAGTTTAGTGAACGTCTCCGTCATTACTTGAGTTACTTCCTGTAGCTTGCTAAGTGTGTGGCTCACTTCCTGTGTCAGGTTCTTGTAGACCTCCTGGGTGTCAAGGGGGGTGTCCAGCCTCTTTGTTTCGCACCCTAGTTGACATATTTGTTTACATTGTATTTACACTATTGAATTTACATACTAAGAGCTACTATCCTACCTTATTTCACTTCAAAGCCGAGAATTACGCCTGTTATATGCTATCTTAACCAAGTCACCAGCAAGGTGAATCAGCACCTGGGTAAATTAATTCTAAATAAACCGTAGGTTAGCTTGAGCAGTTGTACCACCCGGGCACTAGCTTAGTTGTAGACCTTAGTATAAATTAGACTTGTTTCGAGTGCTGGGATATCGGAGAGAAGTACTCACCTAATTGAGGTTGCAGGGGTCGAGACTCAGCTCCTGGCCCCGCTTCTTCACTGATCGCTACTAGGTCCTCTTTCTCCCCCCATAAATGCAGCCCTCTCCCTCAACGCAAAAAGATTTGCACAGAGTGGGGCATAAGGTTTCGTTGCCTGTCAAACGGCATTGTGCATTTATTACAGGTAAATTATTAAACTTGGCAAATAAAAAACTACATTGCTTAAAGTCAATGCGAATCTTTCTGCGAAAGTATGAAACCTATCAGAAGAGGGATTTTTTTTCAGTGCATGGAATCTATCAGTTTCAAGTTTGCTAAATATTGTTAGTAAATCGACAAATTTGCACCTATACAGCCCACTTTTAGAAGGTATCGTTTCATAAAAGGCATCAGCCATTAAGCAAATCAAGCATATTCAGGTTATTTCCCAGAAAAATTGCCACATCATTTTAAACAAAATTAGCAAATTGGCACCTACATACCCGACTAACAATCAGAATCCTCTGTGTAGTACACACCAAAATTGGTAGTTTGAAGCTGATCAAAAGAGGCTTTCTCAAGTTATTGCACAAAAACCAAATTCGAAAACAGCTTATATAAAATTGACCAGAAGGCACGTGCATATGCCAATGGTTGCATGAACCTTTCCTCTAGTTAGAGCGTTAAAATTTGAAGTCGACTGGATCAGGCGTTCTTAAGTTATAGACTGAGAACCTTGGAGGAAGGAAAAAATGTTAACAAATTAAGATACTCGCTCAGGGATACCTAATAAACCTAGCTAGTATACGATGCATGTTTACAAAAATAACAAACTTAAGATACCACATGAAACAAAAATTGCTAACCATTAGGGCAGGTTGGAGGGTGTTGAGAGATGTTGACGAAATCCATGAGCAGCTGTCCCATCTGCTGGAGGACCAGTTGGTTGATGACCACTGCTCCTCGCAGCTCAGTTTCTGTTGTGGTGACTGACTCTTCAGTGTCAGCGGCTGTCCTGTCCCAACATAGTGCCACCACCACTGGCAAGACCGTGCTTATGTACACCATTTTATGTATCTTCTCTTTGCCTGAATAATGTTGTATGCTCGTAATACTCATTGTAATACATGTAAGATAATATAATTGACTAGATATATTTCATTTACTGTGCATTATGAGAAAGGGTATACGTTAGTGTATGTATTCGTGTGCCTGTATATGCTTGTTAATATGCGTACATGTGTATGTGTTTGTGTGTACCCATGCATGCGTGTGCATTAGTATGTGTATGTATTCCTGTTTGTATGCTACTATGCACATGTACATTAGCATACGCAAGTGAATTTTTAAACTAATATATGTCACTCGGCCACATGTGACGGACGATTCCCGTAGAGTTAAGATTTAGACACTAAGAATTTGTATTGTTTTAATAACAAAAATGTTAATTTCTCAGCAGGTCTGTTCTGATCTTAATGAAACTCAAATTCAACTATGAAAAAACACGTGGATGTTTTAAATTTGGCTTTTAGATAAAACGTTAATATCTCCTGAATGGCTATAGGGGATTGTAAAAATTTACATGACGTACGTTAAAAAAAATTGTTTTCATTTTTTTAACCCAGTTTCTTAAGTGATCTAGGAGAAGCTATAAAGCTCACTCAAATATTAAATCTTCCACTAACCAAGACACACACTAAAAGCTTCAAGTTGACCTGAAGAAGCATTCTCCAGTTTTTCTTAACAATGCTAATGTATTAGCAAATTTGCATCTACACAATCTAAACTTTTAGGGTATCATTTTCATCAAGTGCTTCAGTGTCATGGGTTTGAAGTCAGTGAGAAAAACATTCGTCAGTTACTGAATGATAATCGTTATTACAATTTATTTATTAAAATTAATAAATTGGAATTTTTCCAGTCCAATAATAACGCGCATCTTCCGCTCAGTAAGAAACTCGCCCACTCGTCACTTTATTTTTTTCTTAAACCCTTCTTGTTTATCCGCTATCCTGCTGCGTGTCTTTCCGTTTTCTCTTCTTTTTTAGAACTAAATAAACTAGAATATTGACAACACTTACCACACTACTGGATGCAGGATGTGAAGTAGTGGCTGGTTGGGACAACAGTAACATCACACTGACTTCAGAAGACGATACGACGTAGTGGTAATGTCACCATGCTCCAATATCAACACAGACACATAAGTGTCGTACAGAAGACACTGTGGAAGGCATTTAGTGTTGTCATGCATGCAGTGCAAACACAGGAAAAAGGACCATAACGACTTCTATGGGTTAAACTGTTTTTCCAAACAGATAAACCTGATACCCTGGTACATTTCCGGTGCTAGTAAGGGGCGGAGTTTTCTCCGTGAATAAATTGCGTAATGCAGAAAGCAGTTATTGCGGGTATTAATGATTATTTTACTGTGCAATCGTCATCACGCTGGCTGCTCTTCTTTCCGAAAGTTTCGTATTTAGGGCAGATTATATTTATGACTTGACTGCAACTGAGTTATTATATACCAACTATGACTTTTCCATCATATTTCTCCCCATCCTTCACACCTAAGGTTAGCATTTTTTTTTCCGAAATTGAATGATACCACTAAGACTGAACGTAATTAAGTAGCCCCTTGACGTACAACGCTGAATGAAACACTATTTTTTTGTACATATAATAACAATGTGTTTCTGTCTCAAGCACGATCTGAGAGGACAGGGAGGAGGTATTCCTCGTATCCTGTATTTCCTGGCCTTAACTAGCTGTACCTGAGAACCTCCAAGTGGCCCGGGATACACAGAGCAACACCCTCAAGTGACCTAGGAACTGCCAAATGAAGCATTGTGAAAATATTCTCAAGAAAGCCTAAGAGGTTCAGAAGCTGGAAACCAACCTCAACAGACTTGTTTGATCATTTTATTTTGCACCCCCTACCTATCTTGTGGGTGGCTCCAACATTTTGTTAGATAAACAGCTTACAATAATGTGAACTATTTGTGGAAAATAATATATTTTCCAGAAAAAATACAGTGTATTTTTCATGTAAATTAGTGTAACATACTGTATGTAATAAAAATTTGTTATAAAAAAATGGGAAACTCTGCGCCTGCGCAGAAGAGACTCGCCATGTTTGAATTGAGACAACACAAACATTAGTGAAGAATCGGAAGAATTTTCGTGCTCTAGATGTTAAAATTGGGCTGACACCTCTCAAATAGGAGCCGAAATTGTTGGATGTGTATTCCTGCATAACTTGAGATATCAGACGACTGGACAAGACAGCTCCAGGAACCTCAGATAAGTTTATTTATGTTGTAACTCTGGCCAGTGTTATTTTCATGGATAGACTGAGGTTTTCTGAGTATGATACACCTTAATCTCCAGTCAAATTGGTGAGTGATATTAAGATATATTCTTCTGTTATGTAAATGTGTGTATATATAATAATTTATTAATTTTAATATACAGTCCACAAATTTATATATTTACCAGAATTCCTGGTTATACATATTTCATTGGTAATTAATAGGTCTAGAGCAACTTGTGGATATGACAGTGGTAGGTATCGAAGGGGGACATTTTTGCGACCTAAGTGTACCAAATTCCTACTTGTCTAAGTAACTTTGATAAATAATAATTATCTCTGTTACCATTTACTGGTATGTACATTGAGTTACATCCAGATAAATGCAATTTTCCATTCTATTTATAAAGTTATTGACCAGTGTTAATAATAATGATATCGTTACACAAGTCTGTTGATTAAGTCAAAGTGGTTCTAAGTTATTTACAATAAGCAAATTTAGTGTATTTTTTTCAGAAGTGACGGTAATATATCAGTAAATAAAATTGATATTTCTTGAACGGAAATATAAACCCTATGGTCATCGCAAACCTAGTTTCGTTTAATTTTATCTCATTTTCCAGCGAGGCAGGCAAACGTTGATTTATTATATGATTTTAAGCATATTTCTCTATATACATTACCTAGGTTAGGTAAAATTACATCGTTAGGTTATATTAAGATGTTTATAATCAAAACCTAACCAATTATAACATACCATAATGTCAGTGCAATGAAATAAAGACAATAGAAACTTTTTAGTCGTAAACAGAAAACGAAGACCCATCAAGCGCATATTGTTGTACTCACATAATCTCGTTTTTATTTGTAGCAGTCATACGTTTGATGTTCTTAGCAAGTAATATACTGACGTTAATTGGTAGGATAGGCTACTTTTTTCACAATAATTGACTGGGATGAGTTACAGCTCCTAAGCCTTTTAGATTTTATTTTAATCACAGGGAAGCGCTAAACCCGTAGGGTTATACAGCGCATGTGGGGGGGGGATGGAAGGTATTCAGGCTCAATTCAGGGAAATGGAGCACAGATCCAATTCCCTAGATCAAGAGCCCCTCACCAGCATCAAAGAACTTCCCTTGAGGGGTAAGCCTTTTAGAGCTGTTGATCTACAATCTCGAGTCTTTTAAGGGTGTTAAGCTGCAGACGCTTGACTTCCTGGGTGTGTTGAGTTTAAGCTCCTGAAGCCTCGGCGTTCATCCACTTCCTGTACCTCTGGGGAGGATAAAGTTACGGCTCGTATGTGCCTTATGGAAATTAAACTGCCGTTCTTCTACGTCTTGAGGGTTTTGAGGTACAGCTACAGAATCCTTGGCGCCGATCTCTGCGAAATATTCAGTTTAATTGGAGCCAGACAATTTGTGTGACTAGCTTAATGTTCCATGATAGGATACGATACGACATATGACTGATTGCCGCATTTAACTGTGAACATGTGGGATTCCTTTCTGACCTCTTTCTGCACCCTAACGCCCAAACTCTATCCTTCTCTCGGAAAGTCCTTCCTTCAAATCAGATTTCCTGTGATTTCTTAACCGAGATTGACTTATTACACCAACAGTGACTTTCCTGTATTGTACTTGGAAGCTTTCCCTCAGTTCCCCTTCCCTGTTAGCATCTCTCCGCTGTGTGTGTGGCTATGTGACCTACACAAGCTTAACCAGATTTTGTGAATAATAATAATAAACTTCCTAGTAACCTCAAAAAATATATTTATTCTTTCCAATTAGTGCATGTATTGCAAACATATCAGCTTCACATTATTCTTGGTGGTCTAAGGAAGTTAATGATATTCCTGAAGGCTTAGTGGGGGGTAATAATGATCCTAAGGCTTAGTGAGAAGGAATGATGTTCTTGAAGGCCTAGTGAGAATTAATATAAAAAAGTAATAATAATAATAATATCTTTATTTCTATAAGTACATGTACAAGGCATACAGGCCTAGCTGACATTAATGACACTACTATACAGAAAGCCGCTTGTTATGCAGAGCATTTCGCGCGAATTAGGTGAATTTTGTCCCGGGGTGAGACCCACACCAGTCAACTAACTCCCAGGTACCCATTTTACTGATTCGTGAACATTGACAACCAGCGAGGGGGTAATGATGTTCTTGAAGACCTAGTGAGAAGTGACTATGTTCTTGAAGACCTAATGAGAGGGTAATGATGTTCCTGAAGAACTAGTGAGGGGTAATGATATTTTTGAAGACCTAGTGAGAGGTAATGATACTCCTGAGGGACTAGTGAGAGGTAATGATACTCCTGAAGGACTAGTGAGAGGTAATGATGTTCTGAAGAACTAGTGGGAGGTAATGATGTTCCTGAAGGACTAGTGAGAGGTAATGATGTTCCTGAAGAGCTAGTGAGAGGTAATGATGTTCCTGAAGGACTAGTGAGAGGTAATGATGCTCCTGAAGAACTAGCGAGAGGCAATGATGCTCCTGAAGAACTAGTGGGAGGTAATGATGTTCCTGAAGGACTAGTGAGAGATAATGATGTTCCTGAAGGACTAGTGAGAGGTAATGATGCTCCTGAAGAACTAGCGAGAGGCAATGATGCTCCTGAAGAACTAGTGGGAGGTAATGATGTTCCTGAAGGACTAGTGAGAGGTAATGATACTCCTGAAGCACTAGTGAGAGATAATGATGCTCCTGAAGGACTAGTGAGAGGTAATGATGCTCCTGAAGAACTAGTGGGAGGTAATGATGTTCCTGAAGGACTAGTGAGAGGTAATGATACTCCTGAAGGACTGGTGAGAGGTAATGATGTTCCTGAAGGACTGGTGAGAGGTAATGATGTTCCTGAAGGACTGGTGAGAGGTAATGATGTTCTTGAAGACCTAGTGAGAGGTAATGATGTTCCTGAAGACCTAGTAAGAGGTAATGATGTTCCTGAAGCCCTAGTGAGAGGTGATGATGTTCTTGAAAACCTAGTGACCTAGTTCCTGAAGGCCTAGCGAGAGGGAATGATCTTTCTGGAGATATAGTGAGAGTCAGTTATGGTTCTGGAGGCCTAGTGAGTGCTAATGATATTCCTAGAGGTCTAGTGAGAAGAAATGATGTTCTTGGAGGAACAGCGATATTGGACCAATATCCTCAGTATTAGTTGCAACTAGGTGGCCTGCATGCAGACCCATATTGAATGATAGAAATGGAAGTGGATACTTTCCACTGCCCCAAGAACGTAACAAGTGCTTTTGCTAGGCACCTTTTTTCCACCCGAAATTTATCAAGTTTTATTACTGTTCTTTCCTAACAAATGAGACACTGTCGTACTTTGCGAGACTTGTTACAACGAATAAAAATGTGGATAAAGCCAGCTTTGATAAAGAGAAAGAGCATTTGTTTTCTTACTATGTTTACACAATATAAATGTGTCAGTCCTAGGTAGTAGGTTGGTAGACAGCACCCGCCCAGGGAGATACTACCGTTCTGCCAAGTGAGTGTAAAACGGAAGCCTGTAATTGTTTTACATGATGATAGTATTGCTGGTGTCTTTTTCTGTCTCACAAACATGCAAGAGTTCAGGTACATCTTTCTACTTCTACTTACACTTAGGTCACACTACACATGCATATACAAACATATATACACACACCCCTCTGGATTATTTATTTTCTTACTAATTCTTGTTCTTGTTTATTTCCTCTTATCTCCGTGGGGAAGTGGAACAGAGTTCTTTCTCAATAAACCGTGCATGTCGTAAGACGTGACTAAAATGCCTGGAGTGACGGGCTAATAATCCCTTCTGTATACGTAACTAAATTTAAAAAGAGAAACTTTCGTTTTTTTGTGTGTGGGGGGAGGGGCCTCCCTGCTTCAGTGGGATACGGCTGGTTTGTTCAAAGAAGAAATGTGTCAGTAATAACTAATAATGACTCCAAGCCTTTTCTATTTTTTATTTCATTCATAACATTACAAAGTTTAATGTAAATTAAATTTTTAGAGTGCGACCTCCTGGCGGATGCCGCAGGAACAATGAGGGTCCTGTGAACAATAAGGTTAATCAGCTCTGGTACAGATATTACGTGAGCAATACATTTGACCATTGTACGTGCACGAGTGGCACAGCTTCACGCCTATGGAGAGGTTGTTCGTGGCATCCATCACTGCTCTGGGTCTTGACGCGAGACAGCACGTTTGAAGGAAAAGCTGTTGACAAATGTGGCAGCCTCTGAGAACTGAGCATCCGGGAGATGATACCGTTTCCTGCAGGGCCAGCAGCACAACGCTCTGCCCTGTCTGTGCTCTTCCCTGTCCGTATGTGTGGCACGAATCCTCGTTTTTATTGGCTTTGTTACTCCCAGTCGGTACGCTACAGAAGAAAACGTATGTCGCAGCCCGGCTACACAGGCCGCCAGGGCAGCCCAACCTTCTCCGTACATAAATGGGTGAATGAGGCCAGACAGAAGAAGAAGGGCGTCGCTATATGGAATTACTGGTGTCATAGAGGCATCAATGATGACAGCATAGAGTGCCAGGCTCACAGGTACAACCCAGCACACCAACAATGTCACCAACACTGATATAACGGTCATGCACGCTCTCACCGTCCTCCCGTGGCCGTAACCTTGTGTTACTGTCTGGGTTTCTGGGGATGAAGGAACTTCACTGCTGACAATGTGGCATGACGGTAGCTGCCGCCCAGGAAGAGCTGAGGGAGCCGGTATTACATTTCCTCTTCCCTGATGTACCAGAACCGCGATAATAAGAATATAACATAGTGTAGCAGTACCACATAAACTCGTCACATAAAAGAGAAAGCCTATCACCTGAGCAGGAGGAAAAGATCCCAGGGAAGGAAAGCCAGTGAGGCCCAGCAGTGGAAGTTCGGCTGTGAAGTTACTGGTAGCGTGCAGGCTTCCCACCAGCAGCCCGGCACCAACAACCGCAACCATCAGCACCAGTACTGGTGATGCCAGGCGTGAGAGGATGGGGAGAGCGGTGGGGCAGCGCCAGAGCAGCGCCAGGCGGTACAGTGCCACCGTCACCACCACGTGTAAGGACGCCAGACATACACACAACACAACAGCGTGAGCCAGACCTCTTGTAATCAACTCACCTTCCGCAGTCGTTTTGCTGATGGTATCCAATGTGAGATCACCTAGGCTCGTTTTATCATCAAATATGTGGCTGTCCATACTTGTGATGTTTTCAGATGTGAGATCACTTTGGTTGGCAGTGATGTCATTCATACTGGTCTGTGTGCTGGTATTGCCGTTAAATGCGGTACGGCTTAAGATGACAGTAAGTTCTTGCTTAGACAATAAACTGGGTTCTTGGAGTAGCAAGTTATGTGAAGATGTCGGTGTCACAACGTCGCTGGCACTCGAGGGAGAAGAGGAAGGAATGGGTGGTGTGTGGGTGTACCTGAGAGGGGCAGCCAGCACACACATGAAGAAGTCGGTAACGTGTAGTGCCACTATTGGAGTATCGTAGGTAGGGTGGGATGAGAACCAGTGTACCAGAACTGCTGCGTTGACCCCACCGCCCACAACCACTACCACCCAAACTACCGCCGTCCACGCCACAGCCGCACCTTCTGACCACTCCCACTCATCGATCATAACTGCAGGAAAATGGTAATAATAATAAAAATTATACTTTGTGATTCTGATATTCTTAAGTGCCTGTTCTTTCAAAAATTCCATAAGCTCTCACAAACAAGCCATAAAGGTAACAAAAGCAATGAAGAAGAAATAAAGTTTATATACAAGAGTGACTGTATGATCATAAAATTGTTTTTTTTAAAGTGGTGGAGGGGTAAGCCAGTGGAATGCCTCAGTCAGATGACCAAATGTTCCAGTGGCGGGTTATCACATGACTAAGGCCCGCGTCAGGAAACACTTGTCCCGTTTCCTTACTAATTTTATCTAACCTAGTATGATCATCAGGACTATTAGCTCGTGAAACGAGATGTGTTTTCAATTGAGACTTGAAATCATGACGTCCCATCTTCATAACACCCACCATCTGCTTCATAACACCCACCATCTGCTTCATAACACCCACCATCTGCTTCATAACACCCACCATCTGCTTCACAACACCCACCATCTGCTTCATAACACCCACCATCTGCTTCACAACACCCACCATCTGCTTCATAACACCCACCATCTGCTTCATAACACCCACCATCTGCTTCATAACACCCACCATCTGCTTCATAACACCCACCATCTGCTTCATAACACCACCATCTGCTTCATAACACCCACCATCTGCTTCACAAACCCACCATCTGCTTCATAACACCCACCATTGCTTCATAACACCCACCATCTGCTTCATAACACCCACCATCTGCTTCATAACACCCACCATCTGCTTCATAACACCCACCATCTGCTTCATACACACCCACCATCTGCTTCATAACACCCACCATCTTCACAACACCACCATCTGCTTCATAACACCCACCATCTGCTTCAAACACCCACCATCTGCTTCAAACACCCACCATCTGCTTCATAACACCCACCATCTGCTTCATAACACCCACCATCTGCTTCATAACACCCACCATCTGTTTCACAACACCCACCATCTGCTTCATAACACCCACCATCTGCTTCACAACACCCACCATCTGCTTCACAACACCCACCATCTGTTTCACAACACCCACCATCTGTTTCACAACACCCACCATCTGTTTCACAACACACAATCTGCTTCACAACACCCACCATCTGCTTCACAACACCCACCATCTGCTTCATAACACCCACCATCTGCTTCATAACACCCACCATCTGTTCCACAACACCTACCATCTGTTTCACAACACCCACCATCTGTTTCACAACACCCACCATCTGTTTCACAACACCCACCATCTATTTCACAACACCCACCATCTGCTTCACAACACCCACCATCTGCTTCACAACACCCACCATCGGCTTCATAACACCCACCATCTGCTTCACAACACCCACCATCTGTTTCACAACACCCACCATCTGCTTCACAACACCCACCATCTGTTTCACAACACCCACCATCTGCTTCACAACACCCACCATCTGTTTCACAACACCCACCATCTGTTTCACAACACCCACCATCTGTTTCACAACACCCACCATCTGCTTCACAACACCCACCATCTGCTTCACAACACCCACCATCTGCTTCACAACACCCACCATCTGTTTCACAACACCCACCATCTGTTTCACAACACCCACCATCTGCTTCATAACACCCACCATCTGCTTCACAACACCCACCATCTGTTTCACAACACCCACCATCTTTTTCACAACACCTACCATCTGTTTCACAACACCCACCATCTGTTTCACAACACCCACCATCTGTTTCACAACACCCACCATCTGTTTCACAACACAATCTGCTTCACAACACCCACCATCTGCTTCATAACACCCACCATCTGCTTCACAACACCCACCATCTGCTTCATAACACCCACCATCTGTTTCACAACACCCACCATCTGTTTCACAACACCCACCATCTATTTCACAACACCCACCATCTGCTTCACAACACCCACCATCTGCTTCACAACACCCACCATCGGCTTCATAACACCCACCATCTGCTTCACAACACCCACCATGTTTCACAACACCCACCATCTGTTTCACAACACCCACCATCTGTTTCACAACACCCACCATCTGCTTCATAACACCCACCATCTGTTTCACAACACCCACCATATGTTTCACAACACCCACAATCTGCTTTACAACACCCACCATTCTTCACAACACCCACCATCTGCTTCACAACACCCACCATCTGCTTCATAACACCCACCATCTGCTTCATAACACCCACCATCTGTTTCACAACACCCACCATCTTTTTCACAACACCCACCATCTTTTTCACAACACCCACCATCTGTTTCACAACACCCACCATCTGTTTCACAACACAATCTGCTTCACAACACCCACCATCTGCTTCATAACACCCACCATCTGCTTCATAACACCCACCATCTGTTTCACAACACCCACCATCTGTTTCACAACACCCACCATCTATTTCATAACACCCACCATCTGTTTCACAACACCCACCATCTGTTTCACAACACCCACCATCTATTTCACAACACCCACCATCTGCTTTACAACACCCACCATCTGCTTCACAACACCCACCATCGGCTTCATAACACCCACCATCTGCTTCACAACACCCACCATCTGCTTCACATCACCCACCATCTGTTTCACAACACCCACCATCTGTTTCACAACACCCACCATCTGCTTCATAACACCCACCATCTGTTTCACAACACCCACCATCTGCTTCACAACACCCACCATTGTACTCGCTTCACAACACCCACCATCGGCTTCATAACACCCACCATCTGCTTCACAGCACCCACCATCGGCTTCACAACACCCACCATCTGTTCCACAACATTCATCTTTTGCCAAAAGTGATGTATAATGGTATACATATATGTGCCAAGGATAGGAAGGCCTTATGCATTCTAGATTCCGCTTTTTGTAACCTAGGAAATGGCCAATCGTTACAGTAGTAATGATAAGATAATTGAATTTTCTTGAGATTGTATCTACATATTGTATTGCAAGAGTCATACAGCACTTATAGACAGAGACAACAAGTTTGGTCAGAGGAAAAAAATGGGGTAGCTTTAATTCCTAGTCTTTCTGTAACATCAGAAGAGGCTTTCTCAAGTTATCGCACAGAAACAGAATTAAGGAATGATTTATGTAACATTGACCTTTGTAAATACCTTTGTAACTTGTCATGATTGTGACCAGACCTACCTGGAGTTCACCCCTCAAGGAAGGTTCCTTGATGTTGGTGAGGGGCTCTTGATTTAGGGAATTGGATCTGTGCTCCAGTTCCCCGAATTAAGCCTGAATGCCTTCCACATCCCCCCC